GTTGCTTCTGTAAACATAATTCACTATTGTTTTCACTAAGTCAACTTGCTGCTTCTACAAACATAATTCACTAGTGTTTTCACTAAGTCAACTTGCTGCATTTTCAAGCATGATTCACTAGTGTATTCACTACGTCAACTTGCTGCTCCTGTAAACATAATTCACTAGTGTTTTCACTAAGTCAACGTGCTGATGGAATAGAACTGTATAAACGAACATATAGCCCTTGAAATGTTGAGCAAAAGTATGGATTTGCTGTTATACTATATTGTTTTCCTATAGATGTTAAAATTAGCTTCACACACACACACACACAGACATACAGACAGACAACAATAAAGCCATAGCACGAGATACAGATTAAACAATACCCCTCACAGGGGGTGGTGATAAACCGTATATTATATTTAACATGGGTGATATAACCTACAACACTTAACACATACAACCATCCATTATCTGAGACGATCGTTAACCTTAATGAAACAGAGTTAAGTACTAAAGAAAGGTTAATTATATATGTATATATTTATTCTAGTATAGTGTGTCTCCTGTCTCATACATTATTGTTGGCACACGATTTTATATACTTCTTCTTATAGAATAACTGAGTTTGTCCACTGTTACCGTGAAAAACCGATATATTTTACTTTGATAGAAATGAGAAAACAGACATTGGTTTACTGAAACTACACTATAACGGTTTCATAGCGACGCATAAACTTCTTCTAAGCATTATGTAAACCTATAAAAAAAACATTCTCACGCTATTTTCACCTTCCCTTTTCTTGCTTCAACCACTTGAATTAACATTTTGTAACAGATATAAGTCGCAGCATATGCGATTCAGTATTAAACTCTGTCTTGGTGTAATGGAATGGATGAGGTTGGATTTGTTTATATAGCTGTTAACCGAGGGTTAGTCGCGTGTGTTCGTCTAGTGTGCAGTTAACAGTTAAAAACTGGATTCAGTGTTTGCTGTTATCAGCTCTTTTCGAAGCTTATAATGTCGAAGAGTGCGTATTTCATTATAGTACTGGTTTGAATATTAAGCCCTTCCAAAACTTCTTATGTATATTCTGTGGCCGACAAGGTTCTGAAACGTAAGGTGCAGCGGGGTAGATTTTTAATGAAACTTAGATTCCAATCATAGAAAGACAAACATTCAAAATTTTTCCCCTCATATACGTCTTAAAATCTCCGTTGAAAAAACCTTGTAAGCTCATGATCAATCACAAGATTCTATCTACCTGTTTCAACAACTACAACAAGGATGGCGTAACATCAATGCATCTCCATACCTTCGACGCTTTTGTTTCTATTTCCAAACGTCTAGGCCAAAAGCGTCTGACATACAGAGCAGTGAAATAAAACTGTAGTACAGATTATGCTATAGTAATGAAATGTGGCTCTAATCCTCACGCTCCAACATAGTGACACATGATGTATAAAAATACAATTGCAGCAACTTTTACAGTAGGAAAGTTCTGATTTTAGTGATTTCAACGTTTCAGGTAACGATGACCCGATAGTGTAGGTTGAAACGTTGTAATCATTGAAATCAAAACTTGGCTATTGTAAAAAAAAAAGTTGCTGTTATTGTATTTTTGAATTATTTATTCGCTTCAGTAGCTTGAAAGTGTGATTTTTAAAGAAACGTGATACATACGTCTAGTAAAATTATTATTTGTGTTATTACATTTCAGCTTTTATTTTATTAATACTAATTAAGAAAAGAACAAAAAATGTGTAACATGAAAAATATTTATCAGCTTTATTTATATCATATTATCTCCATATCTTACAAACTTGCTAATATGGAGATAATATGATATAAATAAAGCTGATAATTAGCAAGTTTGTAAGATATGGAGACAATATGGTGTAAATAAAGCTGATAATTAGCAAGTTTGTAAGATATGGAGACAATATGGTGTAAATAAAGCTGATAATTAGCAAGCTTGTAAGATATGGAGAATATACAAGCAAGTTTGTAAGATATGGAGACAATATAGTATAAATAATGCTGATAAGAAATGATAATGTCATAGAAAGTGGTTCATTATGTTTTAAACATCTGTTATTTCCACTAATTAGAAAGGTATTTGAATATTAAAACTTTTCTAGATAAAAAGTTAATATAATACCAATAGCTTCCAAGCTCTTTAAAATTAATTGTAATCAAAAAGTTACCCCATCCATCTACGCTCTTTTATCTACGAGACTGGTACAAAATAACGATGAGACGTAAAACTCCGATGCCAGTGAGTTTATTAACTTACTTTATAACTTGGCAGGATTCCATCTGTTAGTGACCCTATGAAGTTTATTACAAGAAAGTTAACTGTCAAATTGCCCGAAACTTACTGACAGTTTTGCGCATCTCCGATTTTTTGAATATATATTTTCTATTTTATAGCTATCACAAGACTTTAATGAATGCTATCCAAAATATAGCATTTGTGTGAAATACTTTAGACACCACCTGTGGCTTATAAACTCCTAAAGAACAGTAAAAGTAAAAATATCTGCCCACAACAGTTAATGCCTATGAGGACGAACAAATAGTTTTTGGAATTTGTCCAGGTGATTAGTTTTGGTAGGTAGGCCTATTTATTTCCACTGACTGCTGTTTATTAACCATCGTGTCACTAAGTATACAGTTAACTTAAAATTGAAAAAGGAATTAAATTGTTCATAGAAACTTCTATAATAACAATAAAAAACATACGACATTTCTGTTGTAAAAGAAATCAAATTTTTATCTTCTTATCGTTGAACTTATTTTATAAGGACCTGCAGTTTAACGTTTATAATTCAAAAGTTAATATAAGGTGAGTATATATATATATATATGGCTTAATATCAGTCAAACGATGATGGTTATCGTTATAGTAGAGTACATAAGAAACAAAAAGAATGGAAACTCAAACTAATTCATCCAGCCAGGTTAGTAAATGTTTCAATAGTGGATTTAACTGATTAAATTCCGTTCATTTACTAGCTCCTGTACTTTTGGGCAATAATGAAACATTTTAGTTGCTTGAATGTATTTAGGCCAATTTTAATTGCACGTGAATATATTTTTCCACACCTTCACATACAAGTTTTGGATTTAAATTAGTATGCATCATCTTAAAAATGGTAAACAAAATTCTGATGAAATAGCAGTATCCTGAGTGATGATTAACAAGTTTGTAAACAATGCCTAAAAATCTAACACAATAGCTAATTTTATCCGTTAGTAAATAATTTATGTAATATTAAACACGTATTTTTCTAAAGGAAAAAGGAGTTAAAGCACAGAAATTTGTAATGTGTTTAGGTAAGTAATCTTACAAGGTCAACCTTACCTTTCATAAATGTTGCACATACTTATTTTTATTTTGCTTGTAAGTTAAGCTGGTCTAGTAGTAGTACGTAGCCTTCTATTGTTTTATATTCGTGCCCTCCTACACGTGGAACGCTGTATTTCAAGAATTAATCATCCTAACAGTATATAGATCAAAAGTCAAGCGGATTTGATGTTTAATTTGTCTCTATGACAGCGTTCGGGTTGTGTATAGTCGTATTAATTCTACTTCAACAAGCGCTTGCTAAACCATGATGATTGTGTCTGTTATGTTACAATACACAAGAAAATTAATCTCATCTGACTCTGTGATGTGGAGCATACACACACATTAACTTAGTACCGCAATAAGAAATCTATGTAAACTTGATGTAATAAGAACCGATGACTGTCCATCATGTAGTATAAATTAGCAGCCCATTGTTAGTTCAAGAGCCAGAATTGAGGATGTGTAAAATATTAATAAATCAAATTCCTAATCAAAACTAATGTACTCTAAAATCTACCAACATTAACAAAACATAACACGAGTACTATTAAAAACTACTCAAATTTTTCAATAACTTGAAAGAGAAAGTGCAAAATGATCAGTAAAACATCTTACAAAATTTTACTCCTAAAAACCTTAGTCAGACAACAACAAAAACTAGCCATCCTTTGTATGAAACGACAATTAGGAAATAGATTATATTTAATTGAATAGAAATTTAAAAGAAAAGTAGTCACAGAAGGTGACTCAGCAAATACGTAATACATTAAGTAAACAGATCACACTATACAAAAATTTAATAATTCAGAAACTATTAGAAAGCTTTAGTTAAACTTGAAAAGCACTCAGAGAATGCAACTCTCACCACAATATATTTATTTTTTGTTTTTGCTTTTGTAGCAACTACTCTAAAATATGCATCAGAGCAATTCTTCACCCTCAAAATATTGGTTTAGGTGGCAAAATCCTCCTTATAGCTTAATTTTTTCGAGTTTGGACCATTTTTCAAAATCTCAATTTCCTATACCTTTATAAAGAAAGTGGTTGATCTTCAGTGTGACTTTGACCTTAGGATTATTTTTAACCAAAAGTTAATTATTTTGTTCATATGAGACGCTCAACCTTTGAACCGAATTTGATAAAGATCAGATAAAAACTGTTAATTTTATACTGTCCACACACAAACGAACCCTTGGGGGTGAAAAAATACCCGCATTCGAGTGAGGTTAATAATAGTAATAACACAAACATTTAGGTATCAAAAGATTCACATATCTGTAGCTAAACAGGAACCATAGAAAACTTTAATAATAATAAAAAGTTATCAAACAGAAACTGCACGAAACTTGAGTGAAACAGAAACTGTATGAACTTTTTGTCAAACTGAAATAAGTATAGTGTGTCCAAAAAAGTCCATAGGCACTTCAACATATTTTACAGAGTATGTTCGGCATGCTATCCTTGTAATTCCAAACACGTTTGGAGACGGTCTTTCTATTTTCTTTGAGCACTGAGAAGCATATTCTTGTTATTGTCTATGGTCCGTCAGTTGTCGCGAATTCGTTGTTTCAGATGCCAGCAACTTTCCAGCAGCTGTGTGGGTGATGTTTTTTTCTCTCTCTCTTTGGGTGGCATGCATTAAATTCGGTAGTAACCTTCCATAATCAGTCACATATCTGAAATGTAAAAAAGCTGTAAATCACCTATGGTTCCAGACTTTTCGGACACTCTGTATTAAATGAAACAAAACTTAATTAAGTAAAGCAAAACTACATAAAATATTTGTACAGAATCAACATAAAACTAAAGTCATACAAACGTTCATTGAACTTTGGGCAAAATCAAAACTGCAGAAAACTTTAGTTAAATACATAAGAGAGAACAAACAAAACTTACTTTAGAAGAAACTAACGAAAATTAAAAAACTGAAACTTCACAACACTTGGCCAAAGAAAAACTACTTATAAATTTTAGTGTGTAAAAAGTGCAAAAACCTTTAGCCATGCATATATGAGGAAAGATGAAACTGACTAGTGTGCTGCATCATGTCTTAATTGTATATCCTTCCTCATCATTTTGTCGATTAACTACCTTTTCACTGTAGTTTACTTCACACAGTGATTATTGACCCTTCCTTCTTTATTTTTCTCTCTGATGGATCAGTGATGAGCTTCTGGACTTTATAACGCTAAAAACTGTGGATCGTAACGTTTCGTATTAAATAGGAAATAACACTAGATAAAGATATAGTCAAAGAAATAAAGGCCGTATTAGCATGCACTAAATGTATCTTGTTTTACACATTCCTTCAATCTTAAAACAAAATGTAAACAATACGATTTTGTGCAATCTGTTCATATTATTTTCCATGGTTAATGCAATATAAGAGACGATAATTTATTTTCTATGAGAACATCAACTCTATAGTTTCTCCTCTGACTATCACACAGCATAATGAAATCTAATGTTTAGGATTCGGTTAGAGGACACTTTTTTTATAGACAAATATACCCCTTGGTTTCCATTATTAATTAAAAGATTATATTTCTTCACCAGATGACTTTCATTTTCTTAATGATTGAACAATGAGGTAGAATAACTTGCATCAGAACTTATAAATGATGTAAAGACCTTTACGTAAATCTTGGGGAATTTAAATATCGTATGATAGTAAATCTTTCATTCTAATTTCTAAATTATATAAAGATCATTATCTTCTAAAGAGCTTAAATCCGTTCAGAGCGTGAAACTTCCATTATAAATCAAAATAATATAAACACTTTTTTCCTTAAATTCGACCAGTTAGTACAAGTTCCAGCAAAACTTTTAAATGCAGACGAGCGTTTTCTAAACACGTTATAATGCGGTGAGCTATTAGAACAACCGTCATTACAGCTTCTAAATAACTTACGTCTTTAATGCAACATACATTGACATGAACGTTATACTTTAAAGCTTTAAATATGAGAAGTGGTGTGGTCGAGTCCTATTGGTTTAATATATGCTCCAGCTTTGCAGTTATCTAACTCTTTCAAATTCTCAATTGTTATTCATTTTTTAGCTTGACTAACTAGCAAGTTTTCATTAGCTATCAGCGATGTTACATTTTGTTAAGTCATGTCATTTCATTAGCTATAGCGATGTTACATTTTGTTAAGTCATGTCATTTCATTAGCTATCAGCGATGTTACATTTTGTTAAGTCATGTCATTTTATTAGCTATCAGCGATGTTACATTTTGTTAAGTCATGTCATTTCCCAGAAGTATACTTTTTTATACAAGTTGACAACCATCTACCTATTTGAAGAGCCCACGTATTACTTCTCCCAAGATGACGAACGATTTTATTTTCTTAGGTATCGCGTCTTTAAAATAACATATTTTAATTCTTCCATTGCCATTGCTCTTAAGTATACATCAAATTCCTACCTGTGGAGAAATTACGCCTGAAGTTGAAATTATCTTATTTATATATGCAATAACTGTTATTTTTAAGTGTGGTAATTCATTACTACTGGTTTCTTTCATACATCATACTTAATATTTTTAGATGTAAGCAACACATTTAGCATTTCACTGATACTGTTATGAATGAAATAACTATCAAACTCACTACGTTTCAAAAACTTTAATGAATAAATCTATTTCATCATTCAACATAGAATAACTGGTTATATTCCTCTAAGCATGCATGATTAATAAACACTTTCACTAATTTCACTTTAAGTGTCTTAGAAACAAAACTACTAAAATGGGCGTTAATTTTCAAATATTCATCAACGTGGCTCTTGCTTGAAATATAACAAATATATCATCATCATAGCTTATACAGTAAAGTAGTTGAATGTCCGAGGAAAAACTTTCAGCCATTGTTTTTCGTGAAACTCATAGCATAAATTACGTGTAGCAGGGGCAATTTTATATTTTACTAATATGATTTATTATCAGGTTCATAGTGCTAATATTGGAACTAAACTTGCACCTGAGAGAAAGTGAAAACATTATCAGAAAGCAAGAAAGCGAACAGGTTAAGATAAGGAGGTAAAGAGTTCGAAATTAACTAAAATGTATATATTCTTCTTGTGTGGCGTAATTATTATGTGTACGCATATATATGTGTGGAATATAGTTTTAGTGTGCATAAGATAAACTGTAGTATTAGTTTTATCTAATTTTACCTGCAATTTATTTTATTTGCATATCCCTTAGTTAAAATGTGTTTAGACATAAGGTTCTTAATTTTTTAGCATGCTATAACTTTTCTCCATATATGGTGTTATTTAAATACTTTAAACTAAGTACATAATTATCTTATTATGTATAAACAAAATGTGTATTTTTATAGACAACCCCCATAGATACTGTTAATAATTATATTAGCTGAAAAATAAGAACAAAGATACCCAACTTATTCTTTACTTTAGTGTATTCTAATCAAAATAGTCTGTTTAAATAGTAAATATAGTTATTCGTTGATAAGATATTTTCACCATTTACTAATATTTATTCACTAAAAGTCGAGATAAACTGTGAAGATAACTAGGATATTTTAGAAATTTACGTGTGGTAATTCATTACTACTGGTTTCTTTCATACATCATACTTAATATTTTTAGATGTAAGCAACACATTTAGCATTTCACTGATACTGTTATTTGGCTGTGGTTTCTTAAAATCCGTACAAAACCCCTACAGAACAAAAGGACGTAAACAAGAACGAAAAGAATATATATAATAATACTATCTGTTGTTTGTTGCATGCCTATGTAACTACTTCGTAGGGTGTGAATGTATCCTCACCAAATTTGAGGTGGACGTTGATTGGGTCCATGAGGAGTTACGTACACATTTTCAGTTTTAGATTTTGTGGTTTTAATGGGCGTTTTTGCATTTTTTACAATTACATATAAGGGAAGCAACTTTTCATGTTCTAGGATAACTTTTCTTTAATCAGCTAGTAAAGAATAGAGCCATGTTGGTATGTATGCAAGTAGAAATCATGGTACATAACCGAAATCATAACATAATGCACACTATAATCAATTATTTTAGTTATATGGAGCATAACACCATCATTTTTGGGATAATGAATTAACAAATTTTTTACTCATTAATAGTGTTTAACATAACAATTATAATAACTATTATTAATTATCGTTATTATTTCTTACTTACCTCTTCTTCTAATTCCCTAGAAGGGTCAACTGATTAATTCTACCTAAATCTCGTCTAGGGGTATGGGATCCATAAAAATGCCTCGCATACACAAAATATAAAATCGCTGATTCAGAGAATGATTGTTTTTGTTTGTTTTTGAATTTCGCGCAAAGCTACACGAGGGCTATCTGCGCTAGCCGTCCCTAATTTTGCTGTGTAAGACTAGAGGGAAGGCAGCTAGTCATCACCATCCACCGCCAACTCTTGGGCTACTCTTTTACCAACGAATAGTAGGATTGACCGTCACATTATAACGCCCCCACGGCTGAAAGGGCGAGCATGTTTGGTGTGACAGGGATTCGAATCCGCGACCCTCAGATTGCGAGTCGAGTGCCCTAACCACCTGGCCATACATATTTCAACAAATTGATTATTGTGCACCTCATGTTAGAATTTCAGTATGTACCAATATTTCTTTTTCCATGTGTGAATTGGCCTGCAGTTTAATTATTTCTTTGGAGTGAGGCATCGTGGTGCAGTGGTCAGTATGCCAGACTATGATTCTGCGAGTCCACGTTTGAGTCCTGTTACTGCTAAAATAAATCAAGCTCTGCACTTTGGTGCTTTGTGCGCATTATAAGGATGACAGTCGAGTTTCACCTTTCAGTCACAAAAAGAGTTCGGTGCTGTTTTACAATAAGCATACGTATGTATACATTTAGGGCACCATAGAAAATATTGCTTTAACAGGTTTGATTTCAACCAAGATTGTTATATGATAGAACATTATCATTCACGACTTTCTTTACTGAATACACACTACCAGTGTGTTCTAGATGCATTACAGGGCTAGTATTTGAAAAGTTGCTTCCTATTAAACTGAATGTAAAAGTCATTTAAATCATACTCTATGAACTACATATCTTTCTTGAACTGTAAAATAAAATAAAAACGACAATTTTATAAGTTTATAGGTCTTACAATTTCTGGAGCCTGGCAATCTGAGGCTTCGAATCGCATCACCGAACATGCTCGCCCTTTCAGCCGTAGCAGCGTTATTGTGTGACGGTAATCCCATTACTCACTGGTAAAGAGTAACCCCTGGCAGTGAGTGATGTTGACTAACCACCATTCTTCTAGTCTACCACTTTAAAACTAGGGACGGCTAGCGAAAGTGGTCTTCGAGTAGCTTTGCGCGATTTTTCAATAAACAAATTTGAAGCTTTTTAATTGTAACAAAATTGGAAAACAGAATGGTTAGGATGTGTTGGGAAAGTGTTGGGTATTTGCAATTAGTGAGTTGACTTTTCCATTCTTAAGATAAGCAAATAAACTTTTCTTTCTTCGGGCACTTTTTTCAAACCATATAAAGATAAAAATGTTTGAACCTGTATAATGGGCACTATGTTTCAGTGTCTTTCAATTAAATGTTAGGAACGTGTGCACATTTTACAGAAGCTGAATTAATGGTAAAATTTATCATCAACTTGAAAACCGAATAATTTCCCCTGTTCCGAAAACTTATATTCGATTAATATATAGAGAAACGTTAGAGGAGTGTGTCATTTTGTGT